ATCTCTAAGTTAATTGATTAATTAACTGGAAGCCAAGTTTGCATTCAGATTTCTATGTTGGCCCCTCCCTTTTTTCTCACTCCATAGATCCCGTTCTGCTTCTCCCACTATGTCTCCCTGTTCTATGGGCACTAAAGGTAGAAGAGAAAAGATCATATTCACCATTGCTTTCACATCTGCACAATGAGTGTTCGTGTCTTACTCTCCTTCTATACTGTAATTCAGAGAAAGTGGTCTAAAAACAATAGTAGGATGAAATATTGTGATCATCCACATTTTTCTGTTCCTTTTTCTTTCTTTTTTTTTTTTTCTTTTTTGAGATGGAGTCTCACTTTGTTTCCCAGGCGGGAGTTCAGTGGCTCAATCTCGGCTCACTGCAACCTCTGCCTCCCAGCTTCAAGCAATTCTCCTGCCTCAGCCTCCAGAGTAGCTGGGATTACAGGTGCCTGCCATCACACTCAGCTACTTTTTGTATTTTTAATAGAGATGGGGTTTCACCATGTTGGCCAGGCTGGTCTCAAACTCCTGACCTCAGATGATCCGCTCACCTTGGCCTCCCAGAGTGCTGGGATTACAGGCGTGAGCCACTGCACCCGGCCATCATCCACATTTTTCTATACCTATTGCTCTTTGTCATTTCAAATGGAGCCCGTAATTCCATGAGAAGAGTCCTTTTCTAAAAAAATGTTTGCAGCCAGTACTCCAAGAAGAAAGCCCCTTTGCCTGCATCCAGTGTCAGATTCCTCCAGGTGAAAAAACAGGCTAAAAACACAGGAGCCATTGTCACTGCAAAGGTGACTGAAAAGGATGCACTAACCTTTGGGTTTTTTTGTTTGTTTGTTTGTTTGTTTTTTGAGACAGGGTCCCACTTTGTCACCCAGGCTGGAGTGCAGTGGCTCTATCACGGCTCACTGCAGCCCCGACCTCTGGGCTCCACTGATTCTCCCACCTCAGCCTCCCAAGTTGCTGGGACTATAGGCATCCACTACTATGCCTGGCTCATTTTTTTTTATTTTTTGTGGAGATGGGGTCTCACTATATTACCCAAACTGGTTTTGAACTCCTGAACTTAAGCAATCCTCCCTCCTCTACCTCCCAAAGTGCTGGAATTACAGGGATGAGCCACCGCATCTGGCCTGTGATTAACTTTCTTTTCTTTTTCCAAAAAGCTAGGGAAACACATTTTGGTGGGAGAGTAATTTCAAAGCTTAGTAAACCTGGAAACAAGGGATTTTAATTACCTATTCATGCAGAGAATACCCAGACAGGAGAGACTGAAGAACTATACACAAAATAGAAGTCTCTGAGTCATTGGCTAATGCTTAAATCTGAAAACCATGACTCTGATTATGACATGTTAAAACGCCCACACTGGGACAGCGCAGTCACATGCACTGTCTCTCTCTTTGAGCTGATTCCTCTACCTGTAGTTTGTTCTTGCCTTTCTGTTCTGCCAAATATCAAAGCTTTGTTTCAACAAGTCTGTAACCTGTGAGAGGTATTTTCTATCACTGCTTCCATCACATGCTTTCTTCAAAAATAGTTGTTGAGCTGGTGCAATGGTGTGCACCTAAAATCCCAGTGACTTGAAAAGCTAAAGAGGGGAATTACTTGAGCCCAGGAGTTCGAGTCCAGCCTGGGCAACATAGTGATACCTCATCTCTATAAAAATAAAAATAAATGGTTTTTACCATGTCATCTGCTGTATAACTGTGCTAGACAGAATAATGGCCCCCAAAGATTTCCACATCCTAACCCCCAGGACCTGTAAATATATTATATGGCAAGGAGCAGATGAAGGTTGCTAATCAGCTGGACTTAAGGCAAGGAGATGATTTCAGATTATCTAGGTGGGCCCAGTATAATCACGAGGGTCCTTGCGAGTGGGAGAGGGAGATGTGGGAATCAGTGCCAGAGGGCTACAATGCTGGAGACAGAGGGGCCAATGAACCAGGAAATGTGGGCAGCCCCTAGAAGCTGGAAAGGCAAGGAAATCAATTCTGCCCTAGAGCCGCCCTGCCAGCACTGTGATGTTAGTCCAGTGAGGCCATTTCACTCTTCAGCTTCCAGAAATGTAAGATCATAAATTTGTGTGGTTTTCAGACTCCAAGTTTCTGACCATTTTTTGGGAGAAAAGGATCTTAACTAATTTTTATAATCTTGCTTAGAAACACCAGTTTGAATTGAGCAATTCCTAAAATTAAAGATGTTAATTCCTTTTTTTTTTTTTCTTTCCCTGAAAAACTAAGGAAAAACATTTTGGTAGGAGAGTAATTTCAAAGCTTAGTAAACCTGGAGACAGTTCAAACACCAGTTTAAACTGAGCAGTTCCTAAAATTAAAGATGTGAATTCCTTGGCAGCCTGCCGGGATTCCTGGGTGTGGCTACTGCCTGCCATTTCGAACGTCTCCCGTGGGGTGGCTGCCTCAGTCCTCACAGCCCAAGTATCGCTCCTCAAGTCGGGACTGTGGCCACCAGGAGGAGTGTCAGAAGCCAAGAGAAGACAATTTGGGGCATTTCTCAAAAGTTGACTATTCGCTTTCCTCAACATCATTTCCAAACAGAATAATTGAATCTGTAATTCCAGATAATTGAGATGTTTCCCTTTTCATTTCTCAATTGCCTTAAGGCCAGTTGATTAGCAACCTTCATCCTCCCAAGCCATATAATATATTTACCAGACCTAGAGATGAGGATCTGAAGGGAACGATTTTTCTTTCTTTTCTTTCTTTTTTTTTTCTTTCTTTTCTTTTTTTTTTTTTAAGAGATGAGGTCTCACTCTGTTGCCCAGACTGGACTCAAACTCCTGGGCTTAAGCAATCTTCCCGCTTCAGCCTCTCAAATCACTGGGACTTCAGGTACACATCACTACACCAGCTCAAAAAATGATTTCAACAACATATTTCAAAGTTTCTTTACAGTATAGTTTTATCTTTCCAAAGCAAACAAACAAGCTTGAGAATATTCTTTACCCAAAATGGCCCTGTCTCTGAGTCCTACACAGAGTTAACTACTTTATCTATTGTCAACCATAGATTATCAGGAGACAGATTATCCAACTTGTAGTTCTTTGGAGTCAAGCTCTTTCTCTTGTTCTCTTATTCACCTCTGTCCAGCTGCCTACATTTTGACTCTTGTCCTATCCATGCCCCTTCTCCTTGATTGTGCAGGGAAGGAAAAAAGACATAAAAGTTGATTTGATCATTGTGTCTCCCTAACCAAAATGAAGGTTTTGTTACAGAAGAGTTTAAAACTTTCAATTTATTTAGAGACGGGGTGGCTAATCTGGCCAGAAATATGAGACAGAACTGTGTCTGCAACAAAGGACAATAATACCTTTGAAAATGTTAATAGTAGCTTTTCCTTAAACTGAAAAGGTTTTTTTTTTTTTTAATTGTAAAAGTTATGTGTTTGTCATAAAAAGCAAATAGGCTGTAGGCAGCGGAGGTGGGAAGATCACTTGAGGACAGGAGTTCAAGACCAGCCTGGGCAGCGTAGTGAGACTTTGTCCCTACAAAAAATAAAAAGCAAATAAAAAATTAGCAGGGTGTGGTGGCGTATGCCTGTAGTCTTACCTACTTGTAAGACTGAGGTGGGAGAATCACTTGAGTCTAGGAATTCGAGGCTGCAGTGAGCTATAATCATGCCACTGCACTCTGGCCTGGGTAACAGAGTGAGAGCCTGTCTCTTAAAAAAAAGAAAAATGTTTTTAAGCAATTTAAAAAGCAAATAACTGTTTACATTATCGCTTTACATTACATGAAACTAATAAGTATTTGCACTATTCCTTTATTCATCTATATTTGAAAATTGTTTTGTTTCAATTATGAATAATGTGTTCCTTTGTTGTTTTCCTCTTCATATTTGCTGCAAAGGCTGTAAAAGGTACTCTACAGAGTTGTGTGCCACCTTAGGGATGGAAGTCAGCCACTCCTGCTGTATGGATTTTAGTTTCATAGGCTATTTCCATTCCTCCTTGACACACTAAACCATAAATCAATACCCCAAGTTTTACCTTCACCTGCAACCAAGGTTTCTACTGTACTGAAAATGGCCATGTGAATGTGAGTTTGAGAAAGGTCACATATGGTAAAGTTTTTGTGTTGCCACATTTTCTGCATATTCTGTAACCAGGAATGATATGACTGTATAAATTTATGTTACAGACACACTTGTTTGTACATTTAATGCCTGCTTTCTATAACACGAAAAAATACACAGAACATTTTATGCAATTGGCCCTGAGTAATGCAACACATAAATGCTTTGAGAGCAGTTACCAAAAATTATGCAGGTTATTACAAAAGTTATATGGAATTGCACAGGTATTCTAAATGTGCTTTTGAGTAAATTTCTCAGCTACCAGAGGCCTGGGCAGCTGTTTCCAGCACATCCTGGCACAACATTCATGTTATCATCCACTTATGTATTCCACAATTTCAAATGATTGATGATACACCTCCTCCATCTTCGCTTCCTCTTGGAGGAAAAAAATATACAAGCAATCACGAGCACAGGAGGAGGTGGACAACTACATCATAGGAAAGGATGCATAACTGTGAACTCTAAACATGAGCTGGGTGCCTCATGCAGTATAGGAACCAAGTAAGTTGATAATCAGTGAGGCTGGAAGATTGAAATTTTATTTGGTAAAGAATATTGAGCCAGACGCGGTGCCTCACGCCTGTAATCACAGCACTTTGGGAGGCCAAGGCGGGCAGATCACGAGGTCAGGAGTTTGAGACCAGCCTAGCCAACACAGTGAAACCTGCCTCTACTAAAAATACAAAAAATTAGCCGGGCATGGTGGTGGGCACCTGTAATCCCAGCTACTCGGGAGGCTGAGGCAGGAGAATGGCTTGAACCTGGGAGGTGGAAGTTGCAGTGAGCTGAGATCATGCCATTGCACTCCAGCCTGGGTGACAGTGTGAGACTCCATCTCAAAGAAAAAAAAAAAAAGAATATTGAAATAGAACCTGTAGGAAAAAACTCTCCTTGAATCTAGTAAATGTGGAATCACAAATTGAAATAATGTGCATCTGAAAAGTGAATAAATAGATGCCAAGAAGGAGTGACTCATAAGCACATGAGTTGTAAGAGGCTGAACTTGAGAGACCAGATCAGGCAATGCCGCTTAATACCATCACATGATCCTCCCCGAGGCCCTGTATTTAATTAAAATAGAGAGGGAGGCACCACAGATGCCAGAAGAGCACTGTTGCTTTTGGTGGATGGGCCCAGAGGAATTCAGAGTTAAACCTTGAGTGCCTGCGTCCCTGAGAATTCAGCATGGAATGTCTCTACTATTTCCTGGGATTTCTGCTCCTGGCTGCAAGATTGCCACTTGATGCTGCCAAACGTGAGTAACCCTCAATTTCTATGTTTAACCCATTCTCTGGCCATTGGCTGAAATGATGGCTAATAATATCCTCTGAACTAGAGGCTGGATTGAAGTTCTTCAGGAAGCATTCATCTCTGGCTCACTCATCTTTTCTTCTGCAAATTGTTGGGAAGGCTGAAACTACAGCAAAATGCCTCCAGCTCCATTCTTTGCTTTCGGCTCATGGAAAGTAAAAACCATGCAACTCTTCTCTTGTGAAGCTTTTTTTTCCATTGCAGTTGTAACCCTTTCTTGCCAGACAGTGGTTGGTGGAGGGTTGGACAGCCTCCGGTCACAGAACAAAGCAACTCCATCAACTAAACTGTGTCCAGCTTCCATCCAAAAGGGTGGAGACCTCACATGAAATGGGGTCTCCAATCTGGAGACAAACTCACTAATCTCCCCAGCCCAGAAGCTATTGCTCCTCCTGCGGGGCTTCCTCACAGACCTGCAGGAGCTTGCTGGGAGAGGAGCTGAAACCCGGGCTCTCTACCCTGGTCACGCAGGAGAGGCCAGGGCATTTTTAACAATACTGATACCCACGCAATGAAACCGGAATCTTTGGGAGCGGGGTCAGAGGATCCTTGTTTTAAAAGTTCCTCTTGGGATCTGCCTATGCAGCCACGGTCCAGACCACTGAGTCAGTGTGCAGATTCGCGAAAGGAAGAGAGCTGAGTCGCTGTGACCCTGGGGCTGGGATTGCGGGGACCGGACGGGTGGGAAACGGCCAGAGGCGCAGCGGCTTCTGCTCGGAGCCGCAGAGGCCTGAGACGTGGGCCGCGCGCCGGCCCACAAGACCCCGCGGCCGCGCCCTAACCCTCGGTCTCCCGACTGCGACTGCGACCTGGGAAAACGCCTGCGTTTTGGGAAAGTCAGCCTCATCACAAGGAGCTGATCCGGTGTCGGCGTGTAGCACGTGCCGGGCCCGCAGTGCGCTGCGAGTCCTCCTAGCAGCCCGCCGAGCCCGGCGCTGTGATGGTCCCTCTTCCCACTCGAGGACACGGGCCACAGAGTGGGCAAGGAACTCGCCCCAAGCCACACAGCGGGTAAGCTGAGGAGGCAGCCTTCCATCCCGACCTCTGTCCTTCCTGCCCGGGTTTGGGGTTGGACAGGCTCGGGCTTCCCGCCAGCCTAGGGGCTGGGTCTCCAGTGGTTTTGCTCCGTTTCCTCATTTCCTTCAAAATGAGGAGTTTTCGTTTCCTCATTTGCAAAACTGGGTAATTGGGTTCTTGTGAGATCAGCTGCTTGGCGTGGGAGACATGCATGGTGGGGATTGTTCCTAAGGAGGCAGACCTGCATCCACCCTTAGGATACCTCCCAGGACAGGCTCCTTTAAAGAGGAAGGAACACAGAATAGACCAACAGACCCGATGGGGGACACCTGCCCTTATTCCAGCCTCTTTCAAGTCCACTTCGCTCTGCTCAATAAAACAGATTAGCAGGAGGCTGAATCCGCACTGTTAGCTCGAGAGGAGTCCTCAACCTCTTAGGCAGTGGAACAAAACTCAGCCATTCACCGGGTTCACCTTGCTCTGGACTAAATATTCTGCCCAGAAAAAATAAGGGCAGGCAGAATGTAGCAGTGTATTAAGCACTAAAGATTTCCTGCCGTTTTCCATTCGTAGCCCTGAAGGAAGGAGAAGGTGTGGACAAGGTAGCTGGTGGCAGCCCAGCCACCACCTCTCTGCTGGTGGACACAGCAAGAAGGCCAAAGTGTGAAGGGAGAGTCAGCTGCAGCACTGGGTGTGACCTCAAATTTACCTTCACATTTTTGTATTTGTTGTAGAAATGGGATCTTACTATGTTGCCCAGGCGGGTCTCAAACTCCTGGGCTCAATCGTGCCTTGGCCTCCCAGAATGCTAGGACTACAGGCATGAGCCTCCTCATCTGGATGGGTTTATTTTATTTTTTAAATTTTTGTAGACACAGGGTTTTGCCATGTTGCCCAAGCTGGTCTGGAACTCCTGGGCTCAGGCAATCGCCCACTCTCAGCCTTCCAAAGTGTTGGGATTACAGGCATGAGCCATTGCATCCGGCCTTTATTTTTAAATTCAACTTTTTATTGTGAGGTATTTATAGATTCACATACTGTTGTAAGAAATAATACAGAGAGATCCCCATGCACCCTTTACCCAGTTTGCCCCAGTGGTACCATCATGCAAAACACGACATCACAGCCCAGATATTGACACTGATACAGTCAAAACACAGCAGAGCTCCATCACCAAAGTATTCTCATGCCCTTGTAGAGCCAAATCCACTTCCCTCCTTCCAACCCTCACCCAGTTCCTGACAACCACTAATCTGGTTTCCATTTTTATCACTTTGTCATTTCCAAAATTCTATACAAATGGAATTATCCAGTATGTAACCTTTTGAGATTTGCTTTTTTTTAAACCCAACATAATTTCCTGGAACTTTATTGATTTATTGAAGTAACTGCATCAATAGTTTGTTCCTCTTTGTCACAGAGTAGTATTCCATGGTATGGATGTACCACAGTTTGCTTAACCATTCACCCATTAAAGGACATCTGGGTTATTTCAGTTTGGGCTATTATGAATAAAGCTGCTATAAACATTCATGTGCAGATCTCTGTGTGAATATCAGTTTCGTTTCTCTGGGATGCATGCCAAAGGGTACAATTTCTTGGTTATATGATAGTTGCATGTTTAATTTTGTAAGAAACTAACAGAGTGGTTGTACCATTTTATATTTCCACTAGCAATGTGTGAGCAATCCAGTTTCTCTACATCCTTGTAAGCATTTGATGTCACTGCTTTTTAGTTAAGTCTTACTGATAGGGATATAGTGATATTTCACTACTGGCTAATGATGTTGAATATCTTCTTGTGTGTTTATTTGCCACAAGATGAATGAAATGGTGAAATATCATTTCATTAATTTTTACCAATTTTTCTAATTGAATCTCGTGGTTTTCTTATAGTGAGTTTCAAAAATTCTTTATATATTCTAAATACTAGTCCTTTATTGGAAGTGTGGTTTACAAATAATTTCTCCCAGTCTGTGGCTTGACTTTTCATCCTCTTTCACGTCATGTTTCAGAGAGCAAAGGTTTTTTATTTTAATGAGTTCCAATTTCCTTTTATGGGTTGTGTTTGTGTCAAGTCTAAGAATTCTTGCCTAGTCCTAGATCCTGAAGATTTCACCTAGGCTTTTTGCTATTTTACAGCACCGTATGTTGAAAAGGCTATCTTCCCTCCATTGGATTGTTTTTGCATCTTTGTCTAAAATCCAGTCGGGCACTGTAGTGCTTGCCCGTGGTCCTAGCTAATCGGAAGGCTGGGGCAGGAACATCACTTGAGCCCAGGAGTTTGAGTCCAGCCTGAGCAACATAGTGAGACCCCTATCTCTTAAAAAAATTAGTAGCGCATGCTTGTGTGGGTCTATTTCTGGATTCTCTCTTCTATTCCATTGACCTGTGTGCCTATCCCTTGTAACTCTCCTTTTAAGTTTGTACTTTTCCTTGACTTCTGACATTTAAAATCAGAAGAGAAATCTGTGTTTTGATTATGTTCCTGGAAACAATAACTTTCTTTCAAGATCTGAGGAAGAGGAAGACTCTCTGGAACAGTGGAAAGAACTTGTCCTGGGAATCGAAAGATGTGAATCTTGATTTCTACTAAAGATGACCCTAGGTGAATCATATCATTTCCCCAGGCCTGAATTTCTTCATATATAAAATGAAGGGGTTTGAACTAAATAATCTTAGTTCTTTTCATATGACTCAAGTGAATTTCCAATTACAAATATTTATTGATAAACACAAATGTCCTCCCCTCACTTAATATCTATTTCCAAATAGGAGCAATCTCGTAGAATCACAGGACATTTGGCTTTTGTCATATTTGAAGGCCCAGATAATACACATGGCCTGAGGTCACACAGCCTGTTTAATAACAGAACCAAGGCTAGAAAACAGGTTCCATGACTCCTACTTTGCTGCTCTTTCCCATTCTCTCTGCCTCCCAGAGAAGAAGGGAACATGTTGCTCCCTTCTCCTACCAGGGAAGAGGAATAGAAGAAATAGGTCAGAGACATGCATCCAATATGGCTTCTCTGAGCACCCACTAAATACCACACCTCATGGAGGATCTCTCCCAGGATTTAAGAGAAGAACAAGACAGAGTTTCTGTCCTCCGTGAGTCTATAGCTAGGCCAAGACATAGAACCATAGAAATTAATGGGAGAAAAGTTTCAGACCATTGGCTGATGAATACAGACAGTTGAGCTTTGGGCTGTAACAAAATAGACTAAGACATTTATTATCTTGGTCAGTCCCGAGGTAAGCAGGACTAGAGCAACGGCTCAACAGTTTCATTGAGGGCTCCATTTCTTTTTATCTTTCCACTCTGACACCCTTAATGTGTTGGCTGTTTCCTCAGATGTGTGTCCTCATAGTTAAATATGACTGTCATAGCTCTGGCCATCACATTATTACACTACCATCTCCAAAATCAATTCTGAGGAGGAAAAATTGAGTTTTTCTCACATATCTCTTGTTATAAAGAAGGAAAACCTTTCTCAGAAGTCCCAGAAGACTGCTTCTCAGCTCTCATTGGCCAGTATCAAATCATCTATCCGCTCCTGCCCTAATTGTAAGGAAAGCTGGGAAGTCATACTCTGGAATTTTGAACTGTTAGAGTAGAAACTCTGCCAGCAAGGGGAAAAAAGGAGGAGGGGTGCAGGCAGGAAATAGCTTCTTGGAGGCAACCAACCAGTCTGCTACAATTCTCAAAAGAGAGAGACCATGTGACCACCAGGCTGGTCAGGCAAAGCAAAAAGGCAGACACTAACTCATGATTAGAAATAATTTTAAAAGAACTGTAATATAATAAGCCTAGAGCAACCACTCAGAACAAAATAAGTGAAAGAGGTGTCACTAACAAGCTAGTTGTAGAGATAAAATGGAATCCAAATATAACTCCAAAGAGTATAGGAAAAGAAGGAAAAAAAGAACAAGTGGAACAAATAGAAAACAAATAACAAGATGGTACACTTAAATTTCATCATATTGATCATTACATTAAATGTGAATTATCTAAACACTCCAACTAAAAGACAGAGATTGTCAGACTGGATTTTTAAACATCCAATTACATGCTTTCTATGAGAATCTTACTTCAAATATAAAAATGCACAAAGATTTAAAATGTAAGGATGAGTAGAAACATACATCAATCTAAACATTTTTTAAAGTAAAAGGATAGAAAAAGATATACCAAACACTAAGTATTCATATCAAAGTATTCTTTAGAACAAGGGATAATACCAGGGATAAAGAACATAAATTCCTATTGAGAAAAGGGTCAGTTCATCAAGAAGCTGTAACAATTCTAAATGTATAGTATGCACCTGACAACAAAGCTTCAAAATTCATACAGCAAAAACTGGAAGAAGAAACAGGCAATTGGAAAAAACCACAATTATAGTTGGAGATTTCAAGATTTCTCTCTCAGTAACTGAAATAACAAGTAGAGAAAATCAGTAGAAACACAGAAAACTCAAAGAACACTATCCACTAGCTTGATATAAATGACATTTAAAAAGAAAACACTCTACCTAACAAATGTGGACTACACAAAGTATATGGAACATTCACCAAGACCATTAAGAAGCTGTTTATCAGTAAACTTCCTGGTACTAGTACGGGTTGCTTGGAATCTTGAAGGTATTCCTGAGCCTGGCATTCCTTTAGCCAAGTGAGTAGTTCAGAATGGGAAAAAAAATCCAAAAATCTGAAGATTTTTGACATCAGTGTTTTCCTAATGGTATTGTATCAAATTTAAATATTCAGAGGATGTGTATTGAGAAGCCAAGTGATGGCTAAAAAATATTGACTTTCAAAATTTTTATTTGACTCATTTAAAGTTCATAAAGACATAGGGTCTGAATGCTTGTAATCAAGATATTTCCAGTAGACTTCCTTTAAAAAACAAAGCACCCTCTGTTTACTTGATGTGCTAAATATATTATGTATGTGCTTTTCAACAGTAAGAAATAAAAAGTTTCTGTGAGATGATTACTAAATGAAGAATGGAATTTGTTTTTCGAATATTGATACAGGATTTCATGATGTGCTGGGCAATGAAAGACCTTCTGCTTACATGAGGGAGCACAACCAATTAAATGGCTGGTCTTCTGATGAAAATGACTGGAATGAAAAACTCTACCCAGTGTGGAAGAGGGGAGACATGAGGTGGAAAAACTCCTGGAAGGGTAAGTCAAAAGATTCAACCCAAACACCTGCAATTTCCTACTTCAGTAAGTCTTGTAGATAGTAAAGCCTTTTAGATCACACGGCTCACGTCATTTCGGACTTGGCAGTATTTTCTTTAGTCCAACACTATCACTTCCTAAGCCACAAATAATCTCCTTAGAAATTTCCACATTGGTAGCTCTTGGAATACTTTTGAAGAGTGAGCAGATTTAGCTTTAAACCTATTTAACCAACCTGCGAATGGTCATCTTCAGAAACCCAGTCACCCCAAAACCATTTTTACTGTCTCAAAGGTGTGACTTATCAGAAACTGAAAATCTTCCTTTTTAGATGAAAGAATGTGTCCTTCAGTCACTGGTTTTGAGATTTAAAAATATAAACATTTAAAACTTGTCTCCTTAACCCAACTGAGCTGATTTGTTTTATTATCGTAGGTAAATGTTCTTGCTGTGATTAGAGAATTCTTAATTGGTCTGATTTATTTTTTAATTTATCTTCTAGAGTGTTGTACTCTGAAAGCTTAAGTGAGGAATACAAAATATAAATTTAATATATTATAAAGAGGCATGTGGGTCCTCTGGTCCTTATTAATAAAGTTACCTCTAAATGTTTATGAATGAAAGGAGAAAGATGCTGGGTCATTGAGCCCCACTTTTTTTTGCCCTAGGAGGCCGTGTGCAGGCAGTCCTGACAAGTGACTCACCAGCCCTCGTGGGCTCAAATATAACATTTGTGGTGAATCTGGTATTCCCTAGATGCCAAAAGGAAGATGCCAATGGCAACATAGTCTATGAGAAGAACTGCAGAAATGGTAAGAACGCAGTATTCTAAACTACTGGAGACCCGTTTTCTAAACCTTAATGGTCACAGGTGCTCCTGTAAGTGCCAGATGTTGCTCTCGTCCCTTGCCACTGCACTCCATGAGCTGGATGACAGAGACGGTGAGTGTGTGGTCCTACTCAGCGCCTTCATCAACATCAACGTCAGCCAGCTCTCCCCTGCTTGGAGCCCTCTTCAAAAGCCACATCGCCACCCCCTGCTTTTCCTTAGTGTCCAGTTGATTGGACAGAGAATACCTTGTTGAGTCTCAGATTTTGCTTTTATTACTTGGAACTCTTGGCTATTCAAAGAATAGCCAATTTGACAGATGTTTGCTGATCAGTCTAATTTCGGCCGACAAGGATTTCTTAAGCAAATGCTGTGTGCTGGCACAAATGCTAAAATGTGTATATTTTGGTTTTGCTTTGCTCTTAGTGAAAGAAATAAGCTCCCTGTCCATGTTAAAGAGGACCAAAGGCGCAAATACATCAAGGGAAATTATCTTATCAGAATGGTACATGCTCAAAAAACAGAGCTAATGGCCAGGCGCCATGGCTCACGCCTGTAATTCCAGCACTTTGAGAGGCCAAGGCAGGCGGATCACCTGAGGTCAGGAGTTCAAGACTATTCTGGCCAACATGGTGAAACCCCGTCTCTACTAAAAATATAAAAATTAGCCAGGCATGGTGGCAGGCGCTTGTAATGACAGCTACTTGGGAGGCTGAGGCAGGAAAATTGCTTAACTCTGGGAGGCAAAGGTTGCAGTGAGCCGAGATTGCGCCACTGCACTCCAGCCTGAGTGACAGAGCAAGACTCCGTCTCAAAAAACAAAACAAGAAAAAATGGAGCTAATTATTGAGATTCTTCAGTCAGTAACAAGGCTTTTTAATAATGAATTTATGATTTTATTATTTAGAACTTTTATTAAGCTGTCAATGTATTCATTTTTTATTAATTTTTTATCTTCCTGTGGGGAAAACATTCAATTCTGTATGGAAAATATTTTATATTTAACATGAATTAAGCATTTAATATTTTGTAACATTTTTTTCTCCCCTTTTTTTGAAACAACTTTTTTTTTTTTTTTTTTTTTTTTTTTTTTTTGAGATGGAGTTTCACTCTGTCACCCAGGCTGGAGTGCAATGGCGCGATCTCGGTTCACTGCAATCTTTGCCTCCCGGGTTCAAACGATTCTCCTGCCTCAGCCTCCCAAGTAGCTGGGATTACAGGCACCCAACACCATGTTCAGCTAATTTTTGTATTTTTTGTAGATACGGGGTTTCACTATGTTGGCCAGGCTGGTCTCGAACATTTGACTTTGTGATCCACCTGCCTCGGTCTCCCAAAGTGCTGGGATTACAGGCGTGAGCCACCACGCCCAGCCAGTGTTTGTCTTTCTATGCCTGGCTTATTTCACTTAACATCATGACCTCCAGTTCCATTAATGTTGCTGAAAATGATGGGATTAATTCTTTTTATGACTAATATTCCATTGTGTATATATACCACATTTTCTTTATCCATTTATCTATTGATGGATACTTCATTTGGTTCCATATCTTGACTATTGTGAATAGTGCTGCAACATAGGAGTACATACATCTCTTTGATAGATTGATTTCCTTTCTTTTGGATATATTCCCAGCTGCCTCATATGGTAGCTCTATTTTTAGTTTTTTGAGGAACAACCATACTGTTTTCCATAGTGGTTGTACTAATTTACATTCCCACCAGCAATGATATACTGTTGGTGATCTGTATTACCTTTTTTGAGAAATGTCTATTCAGATCTTTCACCCATTTTTTAATTAATGTTTTATTGATACATGATAATCATACACATTTCTGGGATACATGCAATATTTTGATACATGCATACAATTTATGTTGATCAAATCAGGGTGATTGGGATATCCATCACCTCAAACATTTATCATTTCTTTGTGTTAAGAACATTCCAAATCTTTCTCTTTGTTTATTTATTTTTTGAGATGGAGTTTCACTCTGTTACCCAGGCTGGAGTGCAGTGGCGTAATCTCAGCTCACTGCAACCTCTGCCTCCCGGGTTCAAGCAATTCTCCTGCCTCGGCATCCCGAGTAGCTGGGATTATAGGCGCACGCAACACGCCTGGCTAATTTTTGTATTTTTAGTAGAGACGGGGTTTCACATGCTGGCCAGGCTGGTCTCGAACTCCTGACCTCAACTGATCCGCCCACCTCGGCCTCTCAAAATGCTGGGATTACAGGTGTGAGCCACTGCACCCAGCCCAAATCTTTCTTCTAGCTGTTTTGAAACATACAACAAATTGTTGTTAACTATAGTCACCTAGATTCAACAATTTTGTTGAATATATATATAAATATATAGATAACCATATATCTATAGCCATATGTAGATATAAGGATAGCTATATATATCTCTATCCACATCTAGAGAGAGAAAGAGGGATTTTAAAAATCATTTAAAGCATCAAAAATAGCCAAATATAATATGCAAACCTTGATTGGGGTGATAATGGTGTCAGGGCTGTGTAGGAAAATGTTCTTATTCTTAGACATGTGTGCTGGAGTCTTTACAAATAAACGGTCATGATGTCAAGTGTGTCCGGAAAAAAAACTACAGATAGAGTGTGTCAAAATAAAAAGATAAACTATCTCTCAGTTTGATTTGAATAGGATTATGATTTGAAAACCCAATAGGAAGAAAAATACATTAAATGATATCTCTACATTGGACTTTCTTGAATAATTGCTTTGTATAAAACTTTCGTTGAAATATAACAAATTCAGAAAAGTGCACAAGTCATAAGCACACTATTGGATGAGTTCTACATATTAAGTGTTTAGTTGTCTAACTACTTTTAAACTAGTTATGAAAAAAATATGAAAAGTGTTTAATTCAGTGATGCATGCACATTGGGTTTTCTGAGCCCAGATAACACTCATAGCTGGTTTCTTTCTCTGTTTAGAGGCTGGTTTATCTGCTGATCCATATGTTTACAACTGGACAGCGTGGTCAGAGGACAGTGATGGGGAAAATGGCACCGGCCAAAGCCATCATAACGTCTTCCCCGATGGGAAACCTTTTCCTCACCACCCCGGATGGAGAAGATGGAATTTCATCTACGTCTTCCACACACTTGGTTGGCTTTTACAAACCCCTAAGCCTCTTCTTTACCTTTCCTTAAAATTTCAACCTTCTCTTTTCTTACTCTATAATTGGGAATGATAACACAAAGAGTTAATAGCAGTCACCCTGCTAACTTTCCTTAGTATGGGTGAACGGTGAGAGAGAAAAATGAAATCCTGGTTAACCTTGCCAAATCTCCAGGACACTGAAGAGTTAAAAAGAGAGAAAAACTAAAATATTAAGCTCTTTTTCAAAAAAACAAAACCACTTATTTTTTTTCTACCTAAAACCATAACAAGAAAAAATACTAACACTTGTTTATTTGAATGGCACATGGAGGCTGGGCATATGGTTTACACCTGTAATCCCAGCATCTTGGAAAGCCGAGGTGGGTGGATCACCTGAGGTCAGGAGTTCAAGACCAGCCTGGCCAACATGGTGAAGCCCTGTCCCTACTAAAAATACAAAAATTAGCCAGGTATGGTGGCGTGCACCTGTAATCCCAGCTACTCAGGAGGTTGAGGCTGGAGAATCACTTGAGCCCAGGAGGTGGACGTTGCAGTGAGAGGAGATTAAGCCATTGCACTCCAGCCCGGGCAACAGAGTAAGACTCCATCTCAAAAAAAAAAAAAAAACAGAATGGCACATGGATGAGCATTCATTGATTTATTCTTCTGTTCTTTTATGTTCTCCAGAGAATTTTTAAGATTTAAAGAAGCCTGTGCTATTTATTTGTAGGAAATCCTCAGAAAAGATACAAATAAAAAATAAAAATTATCCGTAATGAACACCAGAGATTATCATTGTTAATTATTATGGTATTTTCTTTGCTAGTATTTATTAAGTTCATTATTAAGATCACATACACATTTTTGCTTACTATCATGAGCATTTAATGATATGATTTTTTAAATTTTTATACATTGTTTTAATGGCTGCACAATATTTCATTGTGTAGAAATAAAATAACTACCGTTCTGCTTTGACCTAGCCCATTCTGTCTTTTTTTAAATTACAAATGGTATTCATTTTGCTTTATCATTGGGGAAATGATTACGTTAGAAGAAGCAAACTTAGCTTATTATTAATTAGGCTGCTAAATTCTTAGGTTAAAATGTCACTAGGTGCCACCTGGCACTGCATATTTGAAAACTGCTACCAATTGAGCAGCCTCCAGATTTCTAAATGTTTCATCTTTCATCACAGATTAGAGAGCGCTCCTCTTCCTTCAATTAACTTATTTACAAATCAGGACAAAATATTAACAATACATACCCATTGAGCAGAGTAAAGCTACGTCAAATATTATGCTCATCTATATAAACCAATTGCCTTAAAACTGACTTATTTTTCACTGCCATTATGACCTCATTAGCCAACTCACCAAACATTTCTTTGACTTGTCCCTCTCATGACAGAATTCTGACAGTTTGCATGGAGTCACTTATGTTTACTAACACTCCCAGACTCTTTAGCCTAGTAAACATTCCAATAACTTACCAGATCAACTGTCTGTATTTACAATCAACCTTCAGCCTAGAACTTGCTCTGTTGGTCTAACAAGACTGCCTTGAATTGCTGTCTTCCACTGAGGTCTCAGAGTTAACTGATATTCTCCCTCAACTAAGTATGGTCTCACCTCTCAGAGCTGAAACTAACATTTGCTTCATGAATAACGCCTGAGAGACACCCCTTCCCCTTATAACTTCTGAGGGAGCTACCCCTGCATCTCAGAGTGAAGGAGGATTCCAAATCACACGTCCCTTGAGAGGCCGGTATGTTTTTCTCACACATTTGACGGTGTGATAAATGGGGTCTTGAAACAACCCGGTCTCGAAAGCATTCAATCTAAGATACCCAGTCAGTGACAGGTCTAAACCAGGCCCGCTGGCAGGATTAGAAGAGTTCTTGATTTGGGAATTATAGTAAGAGGAGTTACAGAGTTTTAAAATGTGTTTAAATGTCCTTGAGCCCTGAAGGAGAGGAATTACTTCCACCTGTTAGCTAGCAGCAGGGAGGGTTGGAGAAAGAAAAGGAATGACTCAGGGGTGTTCTAGGAAAGTGCCTGTGGAACTGCTCTATTCTGTTTTCTGTCTGCCATCCTCTATTTCATCACTTACTGGATTTTGATTTTTATGTTTTTGGGACAGAGTTTCGCTCTGTCGCCAGGCTGGAGTGCAGTGGCATGATGTTGGCTCACTGCAATCTCCGCCTCCGGGTTCCAGCCATTCGGCTGCCTCAGCCTCCCGAGTAGCTCGGATTATAGGCTCGTACCACCACACCTGGCTAATTTTTTTGTATTTTAGTAGAGACAGGGTTTCACCATGTTGGCCAGGATGGGCTCCATCTCCTGACCTCAGGTGATCCGCCTGCCTCGGCCTCCCAAAGTGCTGAGATTACAGGCATGAGCCACCGTGCCCAGCTACTTGCTGTATTTTTATATACAAATACTATTAGGAGATAGAGGATTCCAGTCCCCTTTTAAAAATCTGCTTAATAATATAGCGGAAATAGTAACAAAAATAAAGTAGGTTATTGGATAAATAATTTTTTAACTCTTCTGGACACCTCATCATTATATTAAATGTATTTTCTGTGGGGAAAACATGTATTTCAAGTGCCAAATACTTAACATGAAAAGCATTTATTTGTAAACTAAGGGCTAACTGTATTATTCCACTAAACAACTTTTTTTATTTTAACCAACTATATACAATTACATGTGTATAACTGTGGGTTTGTTTCGTAAGATTTTACATTAAAATGAGCACCATCTCCCTTTCTGAAGCAGACCATAGGCCTATGCTATTTTCCCTCCTCAGAGCAATCTACAAATGGTTGTAGCTAGTCTTTAAGGAACAGCTTCCTATAATGATGATTTAATGCAGCCAATAACTAAAAATTTCCATCCTCCCAAAGGTCAGTATTTCCAGAAATTGGGACGATGTTCAGTGAGAGTTTCTGTGAACACAGCCAATGTGACACTTGGGCCTCAGCTCATGGAAGTGACTGTCTATAGAAGACATGGACGGGCATATGTTCCCATTGCACAAGTGAAAGATATGTACGTGGTAACAGGTGAGTGGTGTGAACTCTGAGGATGAGGCACTTCATTCTGTTGACGTCAATGGGTTCAAAAAGAGTTAAGGCCAAGTGTTCGGGGTTAGGTTACAATTCATCTGGGCCCCTACCTAAGCTTGTATATTTAATTAGTTGTAGTTCATCTGTTTTCCAGAATAGCTTAGGATGTGAAAAGGAAAATAATGCTAGATTATCCCTCATTTTAATATTTTAACCTAAAAGCATCGTCGAAGTCCTCCACTTACAATCAAGCAGTCATGCATTCTTTCTTTCTTTGGGGGATGTATATTTTAGATCAGATTCCTGTATTTGTGACTATGTCCCAGAAGAATGATCGAAATTCATCCGATGAAACCTTCCTCAAAGATCTCCCCATTACGTTTGATGTCCTGATTCATGATCCTAGCCACTTCCTCAATTATTCTACCATTAACTACAAGTGGAGCTTCGGGGATAATACTGGCCTGTTTGTTTCCATCAATCATACTGTGAATCACACATATGTGCTCAATGGAACCTTCAGCCTTAACCTCACTGTGAAAGCTGCAGCACCAGGACCTTGTCCGCCGCCACCACCACCACCCAGACCTCCAAAACCCACCCCTTCTTTAGGTAAGGTTCCGCAGTGATCTTTGAGGGGGGCTCCTTAATGGCTAACAAAATATTCACGTAGGTCATATTATTAAATCGCTCCTTAAGGGGATATTGTAAGGACTCTGCGGTGATTCCATTTTGTACCTGTTGATTTTTTAAAGCAAATTTATCACCATTTTACACCTATAGAACACAGAAGAAGGGAGAATGTATTTAAAGTCACTTTGCAAATAGAATTCAGTGACTTGTAGAAAGCTCTTTGACCTTCCTCATTTGCACTGGCCCCTGCTATGTGTACACACTCTGCCCTCTTCTAACCTGTCATATTTTTGTTTATCTGCCATTTTTTATGGCTATGAGAAGGCACACTGGCACCTTATAAATGATCAGGCCATTTCTATGTTCCTTCCTCTTGCCTGCTAATTTCTTTCCCTACCCTGCCCACACCCACCCAGTGTCCATGAAGACACAGCTGTACTTGAAAGCAATTTCCAAATGGTCCAAGAAAGAATGCAGCTTAAGAGTATTTCTGGGTTAGCCAGCTGCAGTGACTCCTGACATTAAAATTGTGCTGCATCATATGTTTATTGCGGCACTATTCACAATAGCAAAGACTTGGAATGAACCCAAATGTCCATCAATGATAGACTGGATTAAGAAAATGTGGCACATATACACCATGGAATACTATGCAGCCATAAAAAAGGATGAGTTCATGTCCTTTGTAGGAACGTGGATGAAACTGGAAACCATCATTCTGAGCAAACTGTCACAAGGACAGAAAACCAAACTCCACATGTTCTCACTCACAGGGGGGAATTGAACAATGAGAACACTTGGACACAGGGCAGGGAACATCACACACCAGGGCCTGTGGGGGGTGAGGGGAGGGGGGCAGGATGGCATTAAGAGATATACCTAATGTAAATGACAAGTTAATGGGTGCAGCATACCAACATGGCATATGTATACATATGTAACAAACCTACACATTATGCACATATACCCTAGAGCTTAAAGTATATAAAAAAAGATTAAAATAAATAAATAAAAATAAAATTGTGCTGCATATAAGACATGAGTAATTCAATACCACCCTGTATTAAAAGTCTGGGGACATTCAAGAAGTCCTTAAGAGTCCACTTTGGGTAGCACTGGCTTCTGTCTGATTCCCCACGCTACCCCATGCCATCATCACCCTTTCCCTACTGGGCCAGTTGCACTCAGCACCCCAGGATCCCGGGGATAGCAATAGGCTGACATCCTCTCACTGGTCGCAAGAGGGCGCCATGGACCAAGCCCACGACGGTCCATCATGACATCTGGGGCTTCTTGTGTTTACAAAATCCTGTTTGTTATATGTTATAAAGTTTTACAATAAGATGTTAGTAATAAAATGAGAGCTTGTTAAATCAAGCATATCTAAGTCAAGACAACACAAGTTATCACTGATTTTGATTATCTCAAAAATGTTTTAAATTACAAAATTCATGCATGTTCCTTAGTAAAAAGTAAAACAATATAAATGTCTAGAGTAAAAAGCAAAAGTCCCCACTCATACTCTCCTCCCAAGAGTTAAACCCTGTTAATAATTGGGAGGATTTCTTTCCAGATCTTTGTCTATGCATTTATAAACATATACTATATATACACATAAGGTTTGTTGTTTTGCTTGTGTAAACACGTTCATTTACACAAGAGGGCTATTCATATTGTTTTACAATTTGCTTTTTTTCTAATTTAACAAACATTATAGACATCTTTTCATTGTTAATACATGTAAATCTATCTCACTTTATCCAGTGACTGCATGGTGTTCCATAGAATGTATCTACTATCATTTATCTCACCATTCTCTCTTGCTCTAACACCCAGGCTAGAGTGCAGTGGCACAATCTCAGCTTACTGCAACCTCCGCCTCCTGGACTCAGTGATCCTCCTGCCTCAGCCTCCCGAGTGGCTGGGACTACAGGCATGCACAACCATGGCCAGCTAATTTTTTTGTTTTTTAGTAGAGATGGGGTTTTGCCATGTTGCTCAGGCTAGTCTCCAATTCCTGAGCACAGGTGATCCACCCACCCCAGCCTTCCAAACTGGTGGGATTATAGGCATGAGGCACCGTGCCCAGCCCACCATTCTTTTGTTGATGGATGATTAGATTATTCCTAATTCCAACTACAACTATAACTGTATTGAACAACTTTAAACATATAGCTTCATTCTAGTAATCCTTTAGAAGAAGCAATTTCTTTATCTACAAGTATTAATGATCTTCTTTATAAAAAAGAGAGCCAGGTATAAAATTCAAAATTACAGATGCCTTTAATATTTAAGTTCCAGAATGGTAAAAGACTTAATGTTAGGTTGTTTAATGGTAGTCTACTTTGAATTTCATTTTTATTAAACTAGCTTGTTTTTCTTATAAACTATTTATATCATAGCATGTGTTAAAAATATATTTGAAGCCAATGAAAAGTTCTTTAAAATTTCTGTTATAATTTATCCCTAGGTGAGATCATAAGATATAAACTAGCGGGCCAGGCGCAGTGGCTCACATCTGTAATCCCAGCACTTCGGGAGGCCGAGGCAGGTGGATCACCTGAGGTTAGGAGTTCAAGACCAGCCTGGTCAACATGGTGAAACCCCGTCTCCACTGAAAATATAAAAATTAGCTGAGCATGGTGGAGAGTGTTTGTAATCCCAGCTACTTGGGAGGCTGAGGCAGCAGAATTGCTTGAACCTGGGAGGTGGAGGTTGCAGTGAATCGAGATCGCACCATTGCACTCCAGCCTTGGCGACAAGAGAGAAACTGTGTCTCAAAAAAAATAAAATAAAATAGAATAAACTAGTAACCCCTACAAGTTAGTTAAGTTTTATTGCAAAGGAAAGCTGCCTGGCTTTATCTAAAGATGTTAGATCAATCATAATCAACCCCAAAATGCCTTAAACCAGCATCTCTCTTAGGGAGAGCGAGAAGGGACGTTTCTAAAAGGGGTCTCTTCCAGGGAGCATTTCCAGCTATATGGGCCATATTAAAGGGCTTGGATGACTAACTATTATATTATTGTTTGGCCAAAAAAAATATGTTCTCTCTGCTTTGGTAAGTGGCTTCATAATAATGCACAGCCAAAAATAGAAATGAAATGCAAATGCAGGAGTGAGGCAGAAGCAAGTCAAAGAGGTGACTCAGGTAGATGGGTTTAAATCCGAAGGCAGATGTGTGTGTGCTATTTTTAAGTCACAGAATTCTCTTCCCTTAGCTAACAGTGCTATTACTCGTTTTTCAGACTTGTGAACAAATCTGAAAAAATAAAAAAACCTTTTGTAAGACCGATGCTAATTACTGTAACACTCTCTCTTTATATAAAATAACATCATATCATAGAGAACTTTCCCAGAGAATCAAGAGCTCTCACACCATTCTCTGGGCAACAGGGACATAAATACTGAATTAAGGATGAAGCTGACCTTCTTTCTCATCTGTGTTTTAAGGTGTGCGTTTCTCTCCATTAGCCCTTGAATCATACCTTGACTTTATAGACACAATATTTGCAAAGCTCCATGTGCTTTTTTATTTTTTTTGAGACGGAGTCTTGCTCTGTTGCCCAGGCTGGAGTGCAGTGGTGCAATCTCGGCTCACTGCAACCTCTGCCTTCCGGGTTCAAGCAATTCTCCTGCTTCAGCCTCCCCAGTAGGCAGGACTACAGGCATGCGAACCACCATGCCCAGCTAATATTTCTTTATTTTTAATGGAGACTAGTTTCCACCATGTTGCCCAGGCTGGTCTCGAACTCCTGACCTCAAGTGATCTGCCTACCTCAGCCCCCCAAAGTGCTGGGATTACAGGTGTGAGCCACCATGCCCGGCCTCCATATGCATTTTAAAAGCATTCTATCTAAGGTAGAATCATTGACTTTTATTATTTGGTCTTTTTTTTTTTTTTTTTTTTTTTTTTTTTAATCAAAATCGGCCAACTTTGTGGCCCAGTGCTTACCCAAAATAAATCTGCCATGCACTTAAACTAAATGCAATCGCAAATCTGCTTCCTGCAAGCTCCGCCTCACAAATTTCGCCATTCTCCACCACCTCAGGCGTAGATTTGGGTTGCGGGCGTGCATGCCTGGCCGCTGATTTTGGCCCATTTTTAGTAGACGGGGTTTCACCATGTTGGCCAGGATGGTCTCGATCTCCTGACCTCGTGATCTTTTTTTTTTTTTTTTTTTTTTTTTTGAGATGGAGTCTTGCTTCGTGGCCCAGGCTGGAGTGCAGTGGCCAGATCTCAGCTCACTGCAAGCTCCGCCTCCTGGGTTTACGCCATTCTCCTGCCTCAGCCTCCCGAGTAGCTGGGACTACAGGCGCCCGCCACCTCGCCCAGCTAGTTTTTTGTATTTTTTAGTAGAGACGGGGTTTCACCATGTTAGCCAGGATGGTCTCGATCTCCTGACCTCGTGATCCGCCCGTCTCAGCCTCCCAAAGTGCTGGGATTACAGGCTTGAGCCACCGCGCCCGGCCCTTATTTGGTCATTTTTTAAGAAAATAAGTTTTATTTCATTTTTAGCACTAAAGTATATGCAGAGCAAGAGAAGTTTCATTTTAAAATATGGCTGGGTCATGATTCCGTGCTCTAACTTGACAACTAAATTCTGCCTGTCAAGAACTTCAAAATAAGAAATTGTATGGTTTTCTGGAGAAGAGCTACTGAACTCGAATGCCCTGGACAAACAATCCTATTGCTATAGAGTAGATCATTTGAATCTCAGGACAGACAGAATGACTGTTTTGTCATTTCCAGAGGACCAATGTGAAACTCAAGGGACATTCCCAAGAGGCTGCCACAGCCCTTCCTGCTGGTAAACCACTGCATTCAGTCTAACAGTGTCCAGGCCTTTCTGGGCTTTACCTGAGCAGCATTTCTCAAAGTGTGTGCCATGGAGCATTCATTTCTGGACCTGTTCTGAGAACTGCTCTGAGAAACCTGCTCTGGGCACAGGAAAATCACAGGGCTGTTTACCCGCTGACGGTTCTGAGATGCCCTGGAGAAATCTCCCAGCCGGCTTCACTCACATGTCACTCAGTTAGAAATGCAGCTCTTATGAGGCTTTGACGTCCTTCCCCAAGACTGAGTCCGCTTCACATATCTTTTGAAATTAAGAAGAAGATTGTATTTTCAGTATCGTTATTTTCTTTCTAGACTTTCTTTTTTTTTTTTGAGATGGAGTCTCACTCTGTTGCCCAGGCTGGAGTTCAGTGGCATAATCTTGGCTCACTGCAAGTTCCGCCTTCCGGGTTTATGCCATTCTGCCTCAGCCTTCCTAGAGTAGCTGGGACTACAGGAGCCCGCCACCGTGCCTGCCACCGTGCCCACCACCATGCCCGGCTAATTTTTTTGTATTTTTAGTAGAGACGGGGTTTCACCGCGTTAGCCAGGATGGTCTCAATCTCCTGACCTTGTGGTCCGCCCACCTTGGCCTCCCAAAGTACTGAGATTACAGGCGTGAGCCACCACACCTGGCCTCTTTCTAGACTTTTTATTTTGCTGAAGGAGCAGCGAGGTCTTAATTAGAGCCTGTTAAATTGTAATTAATAGGGCATTAGATTCTTTGCTCTAATTATATTCAAGGCTTATTTTTCAAAAATGTCTTATATTCCCTCCTTTCCTTCCTCACATCTCTGCTTATCACAGTAAGACTTTTAGAATTTAGCTTTGGAGCTGTGAGACATCCAAACAGGGAAAGAATGATCTTTTCCCATATTACTGGAAGAAAGAAACTATGATTTATTAAGTACTCCTTCTGCAGCAGTGATGAGCAGCAGATTTTATATACTTTATCTCATTTAAGTTTCATAGTTCAGCCCCCAGAGGACAGCAAGTATTGTTCTTATTTTACAGATAAGCGAATAGAGACAAAAACAGATTAAATGATGTGCCTGTGGTGTCAAACAGCTAAAAACAAGGGAAACTGGAATTTGAGCCCAGAATACCTGCTTCCAAAATTAAAATATAACTTCATCTATTATGGCCAGGTTTATTTCTTCATGACCATTGTATCACACATTTTAATACAGTTTCAACCTTTTATTTGCTTCTTGTGTTCACACAAAATGTGAGATTATGCTTCCTTACATAATTTAGCAATTATAATACCTTATAGCTCTCACATCTGTGTAAATTATGACACATTTAGTTGAAATTTCTATAGCAATTTCATAGTATAGCATTCTTGATATTTTTTTAAAAAGCAAATGGCAAATGTTTTGATTTTTTATTATATCATGTGTATCTTTTACATTCGTAGCAACTACTCTAAAATCTTGTTATTCAAACACCCCAGGACCTGCTAGTGACAACCCCCTGGAGCTGAGTGAGATTCCTGATGAAAACTGCCAGATTAACAGATATGGTCACTTTCAGGCCACCATCACAATTGTAGGTAAGGCTGGAGATGAAGACCGGTGAGGAGGGATGCTAGACTCCACCTAGGGTCACCCGCTCTCTTTGCTAACTCTGAAGGGGTGGAGGTAGGTGGTAAGGGCACCCCTCTGCTTGTCTAAGATGACACCACACATGCAAGAGCAAAGACCCTACTCATTTCTAGATTCCCACCTGCCCCCCTGGCCTTCCTTCCACATCCTGGTGGAAACAAGCCTACGGTGAAGGCCACATGCTAATGAGCCTGCCCTGGGCCTGTATTCCACCTCTGCAGCCCAGCCATCTGAATGGGGTATGTAGGGTAAAGGAAGGCTAGCATCGAGTTCCCACAACTTCCCCTGTTTTCCTCTAGTTGATTTTCACAAAGTCACACTTGTATGTGAAAAGGGGAAAGAGCAGGCCACCACACATGACTGTGCATTTGGGCACAGCCCTAAGGCATACAACAGAGAAGACCAAGGGGAACTGAAGCCCAACCTATGCTCACCGATTCTGGGAGTGAAGATGGAGGTGGAAGCCCAAGCAGTATCCCTTGAGTCCAAGCCACTTGAGAAGCTGGCCAAGGCCTGAGCCTGGGGCTGCATCTACCCAGGATTACCTTTTCCTGAAACACCTTCCAAGATGGAGTGCTACTTTCTGATGCACACACAGGCTCTAGAAACAAAAATCTAGGTTGGACTGAAAAACAGTTCAGTTTGACTTTGAAAATGCTGCATGGATATGTATCCTAAGCTATGGGGGTAGATTGCCAGATCTGATGTGTTTCTGTATGGCAAGAAAGCTGTCTTCATTTTTAATTTTTTTCATTTTCTGATGTATTAAGAGCTGTACCTTAGTCCATTCAGGTTTCTATAACAGAATTCCATAGACTGGGTGGCTTATAAACCAACAGCAGGAATTTATTTCTTGTAGTCCTAGAGGCTGGAAAGTCCGAGTTCAAGGTACCAGCACATTCGATGTCTGGTGAGGGCCCACTTCCTGGTTCATAGATGGCAGATGGCAGTCTTCTTGCTGTGTCCTCATGTAGTGGAAGAGGCAAAAGGGCTCTCTGGGGTCACTTTCATAAGGGTATTAATCCCACACATGAAGGCTTCACCCTCATGACCTAACCACCTCCCAAAGGCCCCAGCTCCTAATGCTGTCACCTTGGGGGTTTCAACATATGAATTTCTGGGGGACACAAACATTCAATGTATACCAGAACGATTGTTTGGCTTTGTCTGATTTCTGTTGTATTTTGATGTGTTTTTCTCTGGGGGTTATTTTGTTAGAGGGAATCTTAGAGGTTAACATCATCCAGACGACAGACGTCCTGATGCTGGTGCCAGGGCCTGACAGGTCCCTAATAGACTTTGTTGTGACCTGCCAAGGGAGGTGAGTATATTATCTCCGACAGAGGCATGGGTCAAGTGAGGACCTCAAGTCTGAACAAAGGCATTGACCACCAGTTACCTCTTTTAAGTTGATTTGAATTCCTATTTACTGGTAACCTTAGACAGGAAGGGCCCTAGGAGGTGCTATCAAGCACACACGTGTTTTGCTACAGTTGAACAATTGAGAAACCTTTAACAATTAGGCTGAATAATAATTATGATAACTGTTTGAACACTTAACTGAATTCTTAACACCTTATACTTGTTCTCATATTGAATCCTCACAACAATCCTATGAGCCTCCCCATTTTACAGATGAGGCAACTGAGGCCCCCAGTGGTCACAAAACTTGCCTACCAATGGAATGCTGGTGGCCAACAGAGTGCAGCTCACAGGAGAGCTCTTAAGCTTCCAGGAAGCTGCCTATGCTAACATTAATAGCAACGCCTGATAATCCTCTCTTTAGAATTTACAAAGCTCTTTCCAATGCATTATATAATTTGGTTTCCTATGATTTGGTCATGATTATATGTAATAAAGTAAATATAAATGAATGAATATATAAATGCTATATTGACTAACTAAATATACATTAACAAATCATTTGCATATAATATATAAATTACTTGATTAAAATATATATGTGTGTAAATACATAAATTAATCAGGAGAATGAGGTGGTATGAAGATATGGCCTTATTTGGTAGAAAAGAAGAGCTAAGAAGCTCTCCACCTTGGGGAGAGGACCAGAATGAGGGTAAGGGTGGCAGAAAATAGAGTGAAAGCTGACCCAGGGAGTAAAGCTGCTACGAGAGGCCCAGCTGGTGAGAAGAGGGACCGTCCCCATCCTAGACCCCGCCCCATGAGTCCAGCATCAGAGCCTGGTCTCTCCATCCAAGAAGGCTGCCATGAGATAGCGGTCAGGACAGCAATGGCAGGTAGCCTAGCATCAAGGACAGATGAGTCAAACCTCTTCTGTTCAAGTCCCAGCTCCACCCCTGGCTGCTTGTATGACCTGGACTCGTTAATCTCTCTCCCTGAGATGGTTTGTCATCTGTTAAACTGGGGTAATGTTACTTTCTTCAAAAAGCTATTGAGAGAGGCCGGGCGCGGTGGCTCACGCCTGTAATTTCAGCACTTTGGGAGGCCGAGGTGGTGGATCACCTGAGGTCAGGAGTTCGAGACCAGTCTGGCCAACATGGTGAAACTCCATCTCTACTAAAAATACAAAAATTAGCCCGGAGTGGTGGTAGGTGCCTGTAACCCCAGCTACTCGGCAGGCTGAAGCAGGAGAATCTCTTGAACCCGGGAGATGGAGGTTGCAGTGAGCTGAGATCATGCCATTGCACTCCAGCCTGGGCAACAAGAGCAAAACTCTGTCTCAAAAAAAAAAAAAAAAAAAAAAGCTATTGAGAGGAATAAGCAAGATCATGTCATATATCTAAAACTCACTCAGAACAAAGGTCTCTGAGGAAAGATAAATAAATAAATAAAACTCAGTGCCCAGCACATAATAAGTCCTGCAAAAACAACTGCTGCTGTTGCTGTTAGACTTCCACAGGAACCTAGGCAGGGCCAACTATGGCATTTAATAATATGTCTGCCTAACACCCAAGCTATCTGCATCTTTGAACATTCTAGGGATTTAGAAGGAATGTAAAAGGAGTGAGCTGGGCTTCACGTGGTTTCCATCAGCCCCTTCCCCTGGGGAGATCATTTTTTTCCTCCTCCACCCCAGGGCCTCACTTTCCTGAGGATGCAGAGAAAGGCATAGCTCAGCACACGGGCTTGCTTAAGAGCAAATCATAAGACTAACAATTTGGCATCTTATAGTTTGAGTAACAATGAGGTGGAATTCAATTTCATAGAAGTGTAATGACTTTCCCTTTGTAAAATGGATCTGACCTTCCTCTCTCCCCCTCTCTGTGCCCTGTGCGCCCTCGCCCACCTCCCCTGTCGCAGCATTCCCACGGAGGTCTGTACCATCATTTCCGACCCCACCTGCGAGATCACCCAGAACGCAGTCTGCAGCCCTGTGGATGTGGATGAGATGTGTCTGCTGACTGTGAGACGAGCCTTCAATGGGTCTGGGACATACTGCGTGAACCTCACCCTGGGGGATGATACAAGCCTGGCTCTCACGAGCACCCTGATTTCTGTTCCTGATAGAGGTGAGGTTTGTTTTATGGCCATATGAGCATTTCATACTGCAGGTAAAGTGTGTATCCCATACTAAAGCTATTTAGGCCTTTGTTGTCAATGTTTAATTTTATTTCAATATAAAATTCATTGAACTCTTATTAATAAGGATCTGAGGACTGGCATTACAATCCAACAGCAAATCTACTTAGGGAAGTGATGAGACATCCGGTGAAATAGTGGTCAAAGAAAAGCCTTTTGATGAAGAAAAATCAGCTGTGATCATGGACCAGTAACAATGGGATATGATCACTGCACACTTGAATAGATTTGTATTTCAAGGAGAAAGTGTAAAGGCCAATATCAAAAAATAGCAATGTTCTCCAATGAAGCAACAACAAAGGAGAGGCTGATATCACATTTTCATGAAAAGCCACCTGAGCAAAGATATGAAGCCTGGAAGAGAAATGAGACACAAGCTGTTCTCCTCAGTCCCTTCTAACTTACCATGCATCCTCTCTTTCCCTTCCCAAACTCCACTGAGCATTACAGGCCACGGTAACAAACCAGCTTATTATTCCTCATATCTTCACCAGAAAAACTACTCTTTTCCCTCTGAATGCTTGGAAAGGTACAATGTTAACAAAGAAGACAAAGGAATTTCATTTAGAAATTTGCATTTACTGGTGGCATCCAACTTCCCCCAACCTCCAAATTAGGGCTCTACCCTAATGGCCCTCACTAACTGTCACAGATAATCAACTTTGTTGTAAGATATTACTTGTGGCTTAGAAGAAGTGCTACGTGGGAGGATGAAAGGGAAAGATTAAGTTGTGTAGATATTGCAGCAGCAGTCCCCAACCTTTCTGACACCAGGGACCTGTTTTGTGGAAGACTGTTTTTCCATGGAACGGGGATGGTGGGGGATGGCTTCGGGATGAAACCGTTCCACCTCAGATCATCAGGCATTAGTTAGAGTTTAATAAGGAGCACGCAACCTAGCTGTCTCGCATGTGCAGTTCACGATAGGGTTTGCACTCCTATGAGAATATAATGCCGCCGCTGAGCTGACAGGAGGCAGAGCTTGGGCGGTAATGCGCAGTCTTTGGCTGCTCACCTCCTGCTGTGCGGCCCAGTTGCTAACAGACTGAGGACCCCTACAGGTACTGGCCTGCGATCTGGGGGTGGGGGACCCCTGCATTAAAGCACTTACTTTACTCCTTAATTTGAGTATTGTCAGGTACAATCTAATAGCTCATTCACTGTGAACTTGAAGCCTATCTCATAAGGTAATATGTTCTTAAACATATATTTCCAGCCACAAAAACAAACAAACAAACAAAAACATATGTTTCTGGTCAGGCGCGGTGGCTCACGCCTGTAATCCCAGCAGTTTGGGAGGCCAAGGTGGGCAGATCACTTGAGGTCAGGAGTTCCAGACCAGCCTGGCCAACATAGTGAGACCCCATCTCTACTAAAAATACAAAAATTAACCAGACATGGTGGCAGGCACCTGTAGTCCCAGCTACTCGAGAGGCTGAGGTAGGAGAATCATTTGAATCCAGGAGGCAGAGGTTGCAGTGAGCTGAGATGAAGACACTGCACTCTAGCCTGGCCAACAGACTGAGACTCCATCTCAAACAAATAACCAAACACAACAAAAAAATGTAAAACAAAATTTCCTCATTAATAATATAAAAGGCAGTTTTAGGCTGGGCGCGGTGGCTCATGCCTGTAATCCCAGCACTTTGGGAGGCCGAGGCGGGCGGATCACAAGGTCAGGAGATCGAGACCACGGTGAAACCCCCTATCTACTAAAAATACAAAAAAAATTAGCCGGGCGCAGTGGCGAGCGCCTGTAGTCTCAGCTACTCAGGAGGCTGAGGCAGGAGAATGGTGTAAACCCGGGAGGCGGAGCTGCAGTGAGCCGAGATCATGCCACTGCACTCCAGCTTGGGGGACAGAGCAAAACTCCGTCAAAAAATAATAATAATAATAATAATAATATAAAAGGCAGTTTTAATCCCATTAAAAGAAAATAATCATACGTCTAATTATTTGTGTGAGGGCTTGTTGTTGGTAATATCCAAGGTGCAGATTTAAAAGCAAAACCAACAGTGCAACGGTACCCTGCTTTCTGCCTGGGGGGCGGGGGGTGGATCAGGGCCTGGTTGGGGAGCCGGGGTGGGTGGGGACTGGAGAAGGGAACTGAAACCTCTGCATCCAAGTGGCCATGGACTTTAAAGTCACCATCAGAAGCTGCTGATGTTATTCCTCCAGTGTTGCCACAGCTCAAAGGTTGGTTAGAATTACCTTTCGAGTCTTAATTCATTCTATTAAGCTTCCTCTGCACTGGCAAACCACTGATCTCTTCTGTGAATTAGATGTTTAGACATTTGCTTTCCTTTAATTCTTCTTGTAGTGAGTGATAACTTTAGGTGGGACCTGAGTCATTTTCAAAAGCCAAATAAAGCAAGCTCAGAATGCCAGGCACATTCCTGTAGTCCCAGCTAGTCAGGAGGCTAGGGTGGGAGGATCCCTTGAGCCCAGAAGTCCAGCCTGGGCAGCACAGCAAAACCCTGTCTGAAAGAACGAGAGAGAGAGAGCGAGAGAGCGAGCGAACGAAGGAGAAAATGAGAGCTCAGAAGGAAAGTTTTTAATTCAGTGGGGATTGTAGCTTAATAGCTTGGGTTTCAAAGGCAGAATTTCAGAAATAGATCATTCTTCAAAGGCAAACCTATAGACTTTTAGCTGAAGTGACTTTTATATATCGATTCAATGGATATTCATGAAGCACCTGTAATTCTTTCAACAAATATCCTTGAGCATCTACTCCATGCTCAGCACAGTTCTAGGCAGAAGATACAGTTCTGGACAGAGTAGAAACCAAGACAAAGAAGCCCCTGCTTCTATGCACAGTGACAGCTGTTACAAGGAAAACTTTAAAGGTGGTGATTTTTTTTCTTTTTTTTTTAAGCAGGGTCTTGCTCTGTCACCCAGGCTGGAGTGCAATAGAACAATCATGGCTCACTGCAGCCTCGACCTCTCGGGTTCAAGCAATCCTCCCACTTCTGCCTCCTGAGTAGCTGGCACCACAGGCATGCGCCACCATGCTAGGCTAATTTTTTAATTTTTTGTAGAGATGGGGTCTCACTATGTTGCCTCTGGCTCCCAAAGTGCTGGTATTACAGGCATGAGCCGGGGGGAGGGCACTCCTGTAAGGGGGCATGGAGGTCTGAAAGAGCAAGGGAAGTATGGCCAACTTTCAGGATTTTTAGCACAGCTGGAAGGTAGGTGGTGAGAGAGGAAGCTGGAGACACGACCGCCTGATCACGGGAGCCCTTCCCCATGGTGACGCTGCTGGATCAGCCAAGACCTGAGCAGGTGTCTCCAGGACGTGACATCTCTCCACAGGGCCCTTACCACAGTGTTCCAGACATGCTGACTCATTCTGTAAATAGAAGATAAGCTGACCCAAAGACTATGTATTATTTAATAGAAAAGATTACTGAAAGCCCAGAGGGAGCCATATATCTTCTGTGACAGCTCCCTTCCTCATTTATTTAATGGCATTATAAGCGTCATGTCCTCTAGGTGGAAGACATAACTAATATGCTCTTGCTTTTGTTTTAAGACCCAGCCTCCTCTTTAAGGATGGCAAATACTGCCCTGATCTCCGTTGGCTGCTTGGCCATATTTGTCACTGTGATCTCCCTCTTGGTATACAAGTAAGTTTTTGGTTCCTATGCTTTATATCACTATAGTGTATGGTCAAAAGTGAATATACCCTGTGTAAATGGGCCATTTTTCCCTTTTTTGTTTTTAAACATTTTGTGTGGGCCAAACTGGCCTGTTAATCTTGCTGTGGTTTGTTTTTAATCCTAAAAATGCTACCAGATCTCAGTAACTTTACAAAATTATGTCAGCTTAATTTTAACATGATAATCTCAAATTATAGTGAGCAGGCACATTTCTTGCATGAAGAAGAGTAAATATACTTTCATAAGATACCAGTGTCTTGCAAACATGTTAAGTGGAATGAATCCTTTTATACCTGGCATGAAAAAGATTGTAGAAAGTAATATATTTCAACTGAAGATCTTTTAAAAATAACTAACCAATAGATTGTTTTCAGAAAACACAAGAAATACAAACCAATAGAAAACAGTCCTGTGAATGTGGTCAGAAGCAAAGGTCTGAGTGCCTTTCTCAACCGTGCAAAAGCCGTGTTCTTCCCGGGAAACCAGGAAAAGGATCCGCTACTCAAAAACCAAGAATTTAAAGGAGTTTCTTAAATTTCGACCTTGTTTCTGAAGCTCACTTTTCAGTGCCATTGATGTGAGATGTGCCAGAGTGGCTATTAACCATTTTTTCCTAAAGATTATTGTAAAATAGATATTGTGGTTTGGGGAAGTTGAATTTTTTTATAGGTTAAATGTCATTTTAGAGTTGGGGAGAGGGATTATACTGCAGGCAGTTTCAGCCATGTTGTGAAACTGATAAAAGCAACTTAGCAAGGCTTCCTTTCATTATTTTTTGTTTCACTTATAAAGTCTTAGGTAACTAGTAGGATAGAAACACTGTGTCCCAAGAGTAAGGAGAGAAGCTACTATCAATTAGAGCCTAACCCAGGTTAACTGCAAGGAGAGGAGGGATAATTTCAGCTTTCCATGTAACTATATGCATAAAACCGATGTAGTCCAGTTTCTAAGATCATGTTCCAAGTTAACTGAATCCCATTTCAAAACACACTTAGGAGCTCCTGATGGAACAATAACAGGCCCAAACCTCTGGTATGATGTGCACACTTGTTAGACTCAGAAAAAATACTACTCTCATAAATGGGTGGGAGTATTTTGGTGACAACTTGCTTTGCTCGGCTGAGTTAAGGAATGATATTCATTTATTCATTTATTCCATGGACGTTTAGTTAGTGCTTTTTATATACCAGGCATGATGCTGAGTGACACTCTTGTGTATATTTCCTAATTTTTGTACAGTCGGTGCACATATTTGAAATCATATATTATGACTTTCCAAAGGATGAGGTCCCTGGTTTTTCATGGCAACTTGATCAGTAAGGATTTCACCTCTGTAACTAAAACTATCTACTATCTGTTAGACATGACATTCTTTTTCTCTCCTTCCTGAAAAATAAAGTGTGGGAAGAGACAAGACTTTGGTATTGTAATTATTTTTCTGATTCATCATTTGCTTTTCAATCACACTTACAGTTGCTTCTTTTTTATAGATGAGGGTCTCCCTATATTGTCCAAGCTGGTCTCAGACTCCTGGCCTCAAAGGATCCTCCTGCCTCAGCATCCCAAAGCAGTGGGATTACAGGAGTGAGCCACTGTACCCAGCCTCAATTTCATTTCTAGTTTTTGACAAGTAAAAAGTTGTTTAACAATGTCTCGGCCGGGCGCAGTGGCTCAAGCCTGTAATCCCAGCACTTTGGGAGGCCGAGACGGGTGGATCACAAGGTCAGGAGATCGAGACCATCCTGGCTAACCCGGTGAAACCCCGTCTCTACTAAAAAATACAAAAAACTAGCCGGGCGCGGTGGCGAGCACCTGTAGTCCCAGCTACTCGGGAGGCTGAGACAGGAGAATGGCGTGAACCCAGGAGGCGGAGCTTGCAGTGAGCTGAGATCCGGCCACTGCACTCCAGCCTGGGCGACAGAGCGAGACTCCACCTCAAAAAAAAAAAAAAAAAAAAAAAAAAAACAATGTCTCATAGAGCATTGATAATCTCATAAATATTTTTTACCTAAATACATGTATATATATAGGGCTGAGCACAGTGGCTCACGCTTTTAATCACACTTTGGGAGGCTGAGGCAGGCAGATTGCTTAAGCTTAGCAGTTTGAGACCAGCCTAGGCAACTTAATGAAACCCCGTCCCTACAAAAATTATTAAAATTAGCAGGGCCTGATGGTATATGCTTGTAGTCCCAGCTGCTCAGGAGGTTGAGGCGGAAGGATCACTTGAGGCTAGGAGGTCAAGGCTGCAGTGAGCCAAGATGGTGCCACTGCACTCCAGCCTAGGAAACAGAGTCAGATTCTGTCTTAAAAAAAAAAAAAGATATATATATATATATGTGTGTGCATATATATATCTTTCACATATCTATATATATACACAATCACATCATATGTGAAACTTCAAATAAAAGTTTAATGTGTAAATGTATGTAATCAGATCAATCTAAAATAAGAGATTTTCTATAAGCAATTGTCCTGGACTCTTTGAGTAATCAGTATCATATTAAAAATAAAGGCAGGGAGTGGAACTGTAGGTCACAGTTTAGTAAACTTTTTCCATAAAGGGCTGGGTACTAAATCTCTTAGGCTTTATGGGCCATACAGTCTCAGTCACAACTACTCAACTCTCTCACTGTAGCGTGAAAACAACCGTAGACATTACGTAAATAAAAGAGCCTGGCTGTGTTCCAGCAAAAATGTATTTACAAAAACAGGTGGTGGGCCAGATTTGGCCCATGGGACATAGTTTGCCTGTTTTACACTAATAGAGACAAAATAGACATAGCAACCAAGTGCAATTTGAGAATCTACATTGGATCCTAGCTTGAGGAAAAAACAGCCATGAAAGATATTCGTGGGACAACTGGGGAAACTTGAGTACACACTGGATATCAGATGATGTTATAGAATTGTTAATTTTCTTAAGGAATGGTAAAGGTATTGTGGGGATTAACATTTAGTCTAGGTTCTTCATTTCCTGCATGACCTAGAGGCCAAAAAAATACAGCTATTTGTTCTAAAATCGCTTCCAAAGAGTGTAAAATTTGCAGAACAAGAATTGAGATTTCTCTCCATTTACATGATGACTGTAGGGCCATGGTTCTCAACCAGGGGTGATTTTGCCCCCTAGAGGACATTTGGCAATGTTTGGAGACATTTGTGGCCTCCCGTGGTTAGAGGCCAGTAATGTTGCCCAACATCCTACAATCTACAAGACAGCCACCACAACAAAGAATTATCTGGCCCATGGAGAGTGCGGTGGATCCTGCCTGTAATCCCAGCACTTTGGGAGGCCGAGGAAGGTGGATCACCGGAGCTTAGAAGTTTGAGAACAGCCTCGTCAACACAGCAAAACCCCCGTCTCTACTAAAAATACAAACATTAGCCAGGTGTGGTGGCGCATGCCGGTAATCCCAGCTACTCAGGAGGCTAAGGCATGAGAATCGCTTGAACACAGGAGGCAGAGGTTGCAGTGAGCTGAGATCGCACCACTGCATTCCAGCCTGGGAGACAGAAGGAGACTCTATCTCAAAAAAAAAAAAAAAAAAAAAGCAACAATTATCTGGCCCTGAATGTAGAACCACCCTGCTTTGGAGTGACTACCGAAGCTCTGGGCATGGACATGAAGACAGAAGACTTTATTTGAATCCAGTCCTGCCACTGAAGTCTGAGTAACTCTAGGCAAGTTGTTTGCCCCTTCCTGAGCCTCTCCTTTCTCAGTCTCCTCATCTGTAAAGTGGGTATGTATGCCTCCTTGGCTACTTCACAGCGCTGTGGCACATCCATCTGCCCGAATGAGTGGGCATGGGAGCACCCTGTTTATGGCATCGTGGTATGTACTCCATGTGAGGCCTGAGGACGGAAGCAGTGTGGAGAGGCTGTATCATCTTTATAATGATCAGGAGGCCAAGACATAAGTACCTAAAGCAGAAAAGTAATTTCAAACTGCAGCAGAATCACCTGAAGTTTGGTTAACACACATATTGCTGGGCCCACACCCAGAGCTTTGAATTCACTTTTCTGGGCTGAGGCCCCTTAAGGCTTTCTAACAAGTTTCCAGATAATCCTGCTACTACTGGGTGGAAGGAACTAACTTTGAGAAATTCGGTCTTGAAATCCGTTCTTCCCTTCCCTTATCAACAGGGGGTAGCAGAGAGCAGCAAATAGACAGTCATTCGGCGAGGAAGCAGGTCAAAATCCTCATCAAACCTCCATCAGTTTCAATCTTAACAAGTGGCAGAAGAGAGTGCTGAAATAGTGAATTATTTAGATTTATATTATCCCTATGACCCCAGCAACAAGTCATTTAACTTGTGCTGAATCACAATTTGTGAAACGGGAGAAACAACCTAAAAGATAGTGGGATGATTTGATTAATGTTTGTTGAGAGTTAGAACTTCCAAAGAAAATTGAAATGTGTAGGTAATAAATTATTCTGGGAATTTCTTATTCTTGGGACTTTTTCTAAATGTCTGCATTTTAAACACTTCTGACTCATTTATAAACATTGGTTGCCCTCATTGAATTTTCAATTGTTTAATAGTTTAGAGGGCAATACGTTCAATGCATTCATTACATCCAGAATGTATGGCAACTTCAAACCCAAGTGATGGTGTAAGGGCAGATGAGAAGACTGTCATCCAGGGGTGATGGCGACCACATTCTGATGGGGCTTTTGGTGGGGGAAAATCCTTTAAGGTTTTTTTAAAGAATGGTTCCAAAGCTGTCGGAATAGTTACATTTAAAAAATCAGAGTTCAGGGTCGGGCGCAGTAGCTCACGCCTATAATCCCAGCACTTTGGGAGGCTGAGGCGGGCGGATCACGAGGTCAGGAGATCGAGACCATCCTGGCTAACATGGTGAAACCCCGTCTCCACTAAAAATACAAAAAACTAGCCGGGCGAGGTGGCGGGCGCCTGTAGTCCCAGCTACTCTGGAGGCTGAGGCAGGAGAATGGCGTGAACACGGGAGGTGGAGCTTGCAGTGAGCCAAGATTGCACCACTGCACTCCAGCCTGGGTGACAGAGCGAGACTCCGTCTCAAAAAAAAAAAAAAAAAATTTGGAGTTCAGGCTGGGCACCATGGCTCACGCTTGTAATCCCAGAACTTTAGGAGGCCAAGGCAGGTGGATCACCTGAGGTCAGGAGTTCGAGACCAGCCTGGCCAACATGGTGAAACCCTATCTCTACTGAAAATACAAAAACTAGCCGGGTGTGGTGGCGGGTGCCTGTCACCCCAGCTACTCGGGAGGCTAAGGCAGGAGAATCACTTGAACCCAGGAGGAGGTTGCAGTGAACTTACAGTGCACCATTGCACTCCAGCCTGGGTAACAGAGTGAGGACCTGTCTCCAAAAAAAAAAAAAAAATCAGAGTTCATCTCCCAGGAATCACCCCTTGCAGACTGATTTCAATCATTCAACTATCATTTCCTGGGCACCAGTATGTCCCAGGCTCTGGTCTAGGAGAGGACTCAATAGTGACAAGAGAGACAAGGACTCTGTTCTCATGGAGCTTGGATTCCAGACTAATGTAACACGTCACTGCACAAGTGTCACTGCAGGGAGAGTGGTAAACTCTGACCCGGAGGCCCCCATCTTGGTCAACCCCACTGGCCTCAGCTTAATCCTCAGGGACAGTTCCTCTGCTGCTTAGAACTGAACAGCCATTCCTATTGTCCTTGAAATTCTGGAATAAATTTTCTTTGGAGCTCTCCCATAGGCATTTTGGAATTTGGGTACCTTAATGGTATTTTAATATTTAACCAATTTTTATTCTATGTATAATTTTCTCACAAATGTCATGTCATCTCACTAATCAAAATGTTTCTCCAGTGTACAATGTAATTGCCATTATTAATTGCATTGTACAGGTTTGTTGTTTTCTTTTATTTTGGTTTTGAGACAGGGTCTCACTCTGTCACCCGGGCTGGAGTACAGTGGTGCGATCTCAGCTCACTACTACTTCCGTCTCCTGGACTCAAGCGATTCTCCCACCTCAGCACCCCAGAGTAGCTAGGACTACAGCTGTGCACCACCACACCAGGCTAATTTTTGTATTTTTAGTAGAGACGGGATTTTGCCATGTTGACCAGGCTGGTCTCGAACTCCTGAGCTTAAGTGATCCACCTGCCTCAGCCTCCCAGAGTGCTGGGATTACAGGGATGAGCCACCATGCCTGACCCATTTTACAGGTTTTAATGATGCAAATTAAGTATCAAGTTTTGGGCTTATTGAGTCCTTAATTTTAAAATGTTTTTTTTTTTTTATTTTTTGAGGCAGAGTTTTGGTCTTGTCACCCAGGCTGGAGTGCAATGGCATAATCTCGGCTGACTGCAACCTCTGCCTCCTGGGTTCAAGTGATTCTCCTGCCTCAGCCTCCTGACTAGCTGGGATTATAGGTGTCTGCCACTACAA